GGACCACACGGCCCCAGGTCTGGACTCTCCAGATGTTCTGGGCAGGAACTAGGTGGGCCTGGGCCCTCTGGCGTTCGAGGGCCATGAAGATGGACAGTGGCAGAGACTGGTTTCTGTCCTCACCTTCTAGGATATGACTGACAGGGACACGCTGTGGATGGCCAGATTTGGGGAAGATTGAAGGAAGGACAGGAGCCCAGGGCTGCAGGTGGTGAAGGAAAGGGGGATATTTCCCAGCCTCAGGAGGGAGACCCCGGCAGGACAGCCTTGAATGGGGCAGAACTGCACTGGGCCAGCCCCTCCGGGGGCAAAGGGAGGAGAGCCCCCTGGCACGGTGGTCTCTGTCCAGGTGTTCTGGGGGTGTGGGCTGCTAGGGGAGCCTCCTCGGACTTACCTTCCACTGGGAAAGCAAACTCTTCACAGGAAAATGAATTTGAAGGAACATCATAGGCAGGGAAGGCCCCCACCCCGCCTGGCGACTTCAGTTCTGAAGCCCAGGCTGCAGTAGCCGGGACAAGGTCGGGGCGTCCTGGGAATGGGGGGCCGGCTTGGAGGAAAGCTCAGGGAGGAGAGCGGTCTCCCCACAGGCTGCAGGAAGACACGTTCTGGTGATGGATGAGCCCTTGGAGCACAGCCCAGGCCACGCATGAACTGCCACCTCTTCCACTTGGAAATCAGGCTCGGTGCTGGTGTATGTCCCAGGTTTTGTCTTTTGAACAGGGCAGCAACAGTTCAGATAAGCCAACTATAGGAGGATATTTATTAGACAATCAGGGATATTTGATAACATGAAAAATTATTAAGTATTTGCAGTATAATCATGATATGGTTGTGTTAAAAAAGGAGAGGTTTTTGCAGATGAAATAGGTCATCAGAGATCTGCTTTAGAACAGTACAATGGGGTGGGAACGGGGACCAGAGAGGAACAGGTGCTGCCAGCCTAGGTGTGTGGCGCTGCCAGCTCAAGGCGGGTGGTGCTGGTTCGTGGTGCCGGAGCTGATTGGCCCAGCTTTATGCATGTTTGAAAAATATTCTCAAGATGTTGATTTTCTGGAAGGTTGGCTATTGTCCACAGAGACACTGGCTCAAGCCTGGGCATCTGCTCCAGGTCACCCTGTCCCTGTGGCTCTGCGGGTTGCCGTGGGTGCATCCGTGCTGCCCGAGAAGGTGCGTTGGGGAGGTTCACCCTCTCAGCCTCTCTATCTTGCCCTCCTCATCTGCAGCCTCTTCAGCAGACTGGCTGGGCAGAAGGGCTGTGTGGGCCCCAAGTGGGCCACGTCAGACTGTGCTGAGCCGGCCTCCGGGAGTCCAGTGCCACCAGGGCTCTGCACACCCTCACTCCGTCTCCTGGACAGCTCTGAGGTCAGTTTTGTCACCCTGATTTTATGAAGAACCACATGAGGCCCAGAGGGCATCCTTACAAGTGCAGCACAGCCTTCTGGGGGCTGCCCTGACCTTGCTGCCCCTTCCTCAGGCGTGGTGGCCCCCACTGCTCCCTGCACACATGCTGCAGTCCACTGACCCTGGCCACAGCTGTGCTCAAGACTCAGTGGAATGGAGTCCGTCGGGGCCGGGCTGCTGATGTGCATGGAGCTTAGCTCTTGTGTCCCAGGTGGTCTGGGCTGAAGTGGGCTGTGTTTCAGGGGTGGGTTTGCCCGTGGCCTGTGCCTGTGTCCCTCACCATCTGCTGCACCCCGTGACTTCTCTGCGGCTGGCCTGGTGTGCTCTGGGCTCCTTTGTCTCTCTGGTGGCCGGAGGAGGTGCCAGTTCATGTGTAGTGCTAGACCAGTGTTAGTCCCCTGGCACCCGTCAGGGGTGACGTGGAACCTGGCCAGTGGCAGCGTGCCACTGATTTCTCAGTCTTTGTGGACAGCAGAGATTCTGCCTTCTCCTGAGGGCAGCCCTTGTGAATTGTGCTGTGACTAAGCAAAGTGCTTGTTCTGTTAGTGAACCAGGCAGGGTGCTGCTATTGACACTTCCTCACAACTTGGTCTGTTGGCGGGCATGTGCCCTGAGAGTCTGTTTACCTAGATGGACGTGGTCTCCTGCTGAGATGAGAGGCTGGCAGTGTTTCAGTCTCCTGTGGGGAGTCTGTGTGGTCTGCCTGCTCACGAGGGGAAAGGCAGATGTGTGCGAATGTCCAAGAGTGCACTGTAGATGCTCCTCTGAGCTTCCCACCTCTGTGTCCAGCAGCATCCCTCCTTCTGTGACTAGCCATTACTGCTGTTCTGTGGGTGAGGGCTTCATGGAGAAGAAGGGGTGGAGCTGGGGGCTGCCTGGCGAGCCCACCCGCTGCCCACACACATCCTGTGGCCGTTCTGGCCCACACTGGGAGCTCAGCCCTGCAGGTGTCCCTGCCACAGTTTCCTAGAACGCCTCACCCTCCTCCACAAAAGCGGCGGCTCCCCTTCCCCACTCCCCATTCGACCCCTGCACGGCCACACTAATTCACCCGTGGACCGCGGCTCCCGGCCGGGCAGGTGTGTGTTCATTCCCAGACAATCAGAGGCCCAGGTGAAACAGAGCTTCCAGTTGATGGACACCGGGCAGACAGGCTGTTAGTTTATGTAGGCTACAGGCAGAGTCGACTGGAAAATTTTGATCACTTTAATTTACTATATCCAGCATGCCCGCTGTACTCGGCTGGCGCTTTTATCAAGCCTGTGAGGCGGTATTGATTTTTTTATTTTCTATGTAGGATAAGAAGACAGAGAGTTAGGAGCAAGAGTGAATGAAGAACTTTCCTCGGATTGCGGCTATTCTCTGCCTTATTGCATCCTGTCGTTTGTGGTTTCAGATGATGTCCAGTATGTCAGGGTTGCTTGAAGCAATAAACAGGGCAAGTAACAATGGAAGGGCGAGATGAGAAAGATTGAAAAGGAGGAGGAGGAGCATGGGGTAGGAAAGTGCACATGAGAAAGGGAAAAGCTGTGGTTGGGGGTGCTGGGGGGGGGCGACCCCGCACCTCCCGGCCCAGGCAGCTGCCCAGCAGAGCGCCAGAGCCTTTGTGTTATCCTCCTGCCCTGAGGCCGGCCGGAGCCCACCCAGAGCCCACCCTTACTACAGACCACACTGCGCCGCGGAGCTTCCTGTCTGCGGTGGGCCGGCCCCGCCTCCTGGGGAGCAAGGATGGGCCCTTCCCGGCTGGGCTGGGGGGTGCAGGGTCCTGG